AAAAGCTTCCTCGGTAGACTGGAGACTTAACGAGCCTCTAGGCTTAACCTACAGTATTATTGGGGAAGCTTTCGCAAAATCGTTAGATTGAGCTAAATTGGCTCGATTTTTTGGTGTTTTTCGCGAAAATGTGCTTATTGGGATCGTCTTTTCGTTGTATATCCCGTTTCTTGCAAAAAATCGAGCTATTGATTCGACAATTTTCGGCCAAAATTGGCCCCCACCTGTGGTTTGCTACATTTGAGTTATACTTTGGCCCCTGTGCCCTCAACTTCATCCTTAAATACAGTGCCTATTTAGGACCTTAGATTAACAAATAGGGATGTCTTACCATTATGGTGGCCCTAGACGGTGGGGTTACTCCTTGGACTCGGTCTACGATCCAACGGGAAAGTATACCCGCACAACGTTAGGTGGAAACTAATCGGATGTATTCCGGATTGGTGAAGTTGCCCTCGAACGTCCACTAGAAACGAGCAAGAACCCTGACCTATTCTCACCATGAACCCTACTTTATCGGAAAACGTTTTATTTATATGGATGGGATCTGTGGTATCGACGAAAACGGTATATGAATGACTCACATGGTTTATGAATGCTGATAGTAAGTTAATTGGATTCCATTATGTTTTGTTAGGGCTTGGGGTGAAGATAGCAAAGATAAATTTGACCGTCACTATAAAGAGCATTTAGAAATGCTGCGGACGATGGACGAATGGGAGAGTAAAAGACGAGGCCATGATGATGAATTGCAATTGGCACGTCACATGAAAAACATGGTGTCGCGTCTGGGGTTGGAAACACAAAATATCCCCCAGGTGCTGCTGTTTTTACTTGGGGAGAGTAAACGTACCCTAAACATGACCCTGAGCGGTTTAATTCCCCTAGCACCCTCACGCTTAAAGGCATTGCCTGCCCCAAGCCTTTGGAACCCTTTGAATTTATTAATCTCTTCAGGTAGCAAATCTCCCAATATTAGGATTTGAAATGCTGGAGAATTAGAGCCTGAATTTCATATTCCATGTGTCTTGAATTTTTAAAATCTCCACCCATACACCGTAGGACAATTTCAAATTAAAAGATGGGCAGTTTCACTGAATAAACATCCACATTACCCCCAACCCCACCCGCTCACCACCATAGACACACATCAGGCATAATCACACCCTACTAGTCGTTAAAAAATGCTCTTCACAGAGAGGTTTAGCTTGCTGGGAAATACCAAAAGCCTCGAGTTGCATCGGCTATTGGAACAAAGCTCCTCCAGCTTCTGAAACGTTAAGCTCCATTTACTCGCATCGCTGGGCCAGGATCGTCTGAACGCGCGAAAACACTTCCTTCGTTGCGGTAGGACAGACTCTTGATAGCAGTCCAGTAGTATGAGCACTTCAGGGTTTTGGTAAGCGGGCTGACAGGATTCGGCTAAATGATCGTATTTCCCATCGCGGAAGTTGCTATATTATAAGAAGTCTTTATGAGCGCATTGCTGTCGTTTCATTGAATGTCCTGCTCACTAAAATCAGAGATTTCGGTGGGTTGTTTTGTGAACATAACGTAAGAACCTTTATCATGAGGCTCTGCAAGTGATTGATTCACCACGTTTGCCGATCCCCTTCCTCGGTGCCGTACGGGTGAGGAATGCCCGCGTTCCTCGCGATTGGATCCATCGTGAAGTAATGGATTGTTTGGGGGGCTCACCTCAAAAGCAAAAGACCTCTTGACCTGATGGTAACAATCGCTTGTTGGCTTCCCTTCAGATGGCTTTGTGGCTTCTCACCTGCGTCAACCTATTCGGTGTAGCGGTGGGCTGCAAGAGAGAAGTGTATCGGTATGTCTGTTGAGAAGCTTAGCTAGAGACAGTGTGGGGAGAAACAAGGAAAAGAGAGAACTAGAGGTGGACCAAAAAGAACAGGACGGCGGCACCCTTACCATGCTCGCAACGACACTTGAGAAAAACACAGATTAACCGCTGTAAGACCCAGAAGGGGTGCGCTACACTAGAAGATCCGGAGAGGGATTGTTAGTGCGCCAGTGGATTTTTACGAAGAAATGGAAAAAAAAAGATAAAATAAAATGGTCACACTCGCATACCGTTTTTTATTAATAATTTCACTAGATTTATTTCGTGAAAGGTGGTGTGTAGATTCTTCGTCAGTAACACCTTGCAACCATATTAAAACAAAAGGAAAACCCCTGCGGCCCAGCGAAGCGTTCGGCGTGTGATCTCCAAATGGAGGGTGGCTGCACGCTACAACGGAACGCAGAGACCGCATGGAAAAAAAGAATCATTAAAGCATACTACTCAGAGTATGGATTCAATTTAAAATAACTGCAATTCTGAATCTAAAATAAAGAGGAAAATTTAAAATGCTTATTTATACCAATAAATCAGTAAAATGAGTACCAATGTGCAGATGCTAAAACACAGAAAAAAAAGATAAAATAAAATGGCAACACTCACATACCATTTTTTTTATAATTTCACTAGATTTATTTCGCAAAAAGTGGTGTGTAGATTCTTCGTCAGTAACACCTCGCGACCATATTAGAACCAAATTAAAAAACCCTTTGGCCCAGCGAAGCGCTCGGCGTGTGATCTCCAGGTGGAAAGTAACTACACGCTACAACGGAACGCAGAGACCGCATGGAAAAAAGTATCATTAAAGCATATATTCAGTGTACGGATTAAATTTAAAATAACTACAATACTGAATCTAAAATAAAGAGGAAAATTAAAAATGCTTATTTATACCAAGAAATCAGTAAAATGTCTACCGATGTACAAATGCTAAAATAAAAAAAAAACGAATTCTAAATATTATATAAGCACTTATGTGCACCTAAGCCCATTGCAAGTCGAAGTATTCATGTGTACACAAGTAAAGTAGTCATTTCAGTTCATATCTTCAAGATATCGATAGACAAGATGATTGTGGAGGTATTCTGGGTTCAGCTTCTCACCCGTCGCCCTCTCTACAAGTTCATCGGTCGTGTAGAAGCTGCCATGGTCCCAAATCTTTTCTTTTTGCTTCGCCAAGATGCACTCCAGGTCGCCTGTTTGGAGGCATTTAAACAGTTTCTCCTCGCCAAGTTCCGTACGGATTGTCGCCATGAGCTGCGCCGCGAGCAACGCCCCAATGAAGTACGTCGGGAAGTACCCAATGGAGCTCTTCGACCAGTGAAGGTCCTGGAGGCAGCCCAGGTCGTCTCGGCCGGTCGTCTCGATCCCCAAATATTCCTTCATCTTTGCATTCCACACAGTGGGCACATCCTCGGGCTGCAGTGTCCCATCCACAAGGTCGCGCTCGATTTCGTAGCGCAGGATGACGTGCAACGGGTACGAGACCTCATCCGCGTCAATACGGATAAAGCCAGGCTTCACCTTACGAACGGCACGGGTGAGGTTCTCCAGGTTAAAGGCCGGCTGTGGGTCGAGGTGGGCCGCCATTTTGGGCTGAAGAAACTTAAAAAAGGGCTTTGCGCGTGCGAGCTGGAACTCGGCGAAGAGGGATTGGCTTTCGTGCACACCATAGGAGCGGGCTGTGCACACGGGTTGCGTAATCAGTTGACGCGGCCCCATGTTCTGCTCGTATTTGCCGTGCCCCACCTCGTGAATGACTGAGTAGAGGCACATCAAAGGATCATGCTCTAAGTAAACTGTCGTGATACGGCAGTCCTCCTTAGTCATACCAGCGAAGGGGTGTGGACTACTATCCAGTCGCCCCGAATCAAAGTCGAACTTCCAGGTACGCATCATATCCTTGCCGAGTGCGTTTTGCTTGTCCACGGGAAAAGGTCCTTTGAACGGGATGATCGGGTCTTTTACTGATTCCTGTTTCTTTATAACATCCCGTAGCAGCTGTGGTAACCAGGATTTAACTTGCCCAATAAGCGCGTCCATACGGGCGATCGTCGCCCCTGGCTCGTAAACATTCATAAGGGCTTCATATGGGGTCTGTGAAGAATTCGCCGCCAAATATGCCCCTTCTTCGCGGGCAACCAAAACGAGTTCCTTCAATACGGGTAAGTAATCGGAGAATTTATTATCAGTCCGGCTTTTTTTCCATACCCCATGGGCCATAGTGTTAAGTTTCGCCTTACGAGATATGAAATCTTCCGATAGTGAGCTCATGCGCTTCCATAAAACAATCATTTCGCGAAGATTGCTTTTCTGAAGGGCAGAAAGTTCATCTTGTGCCGCGGTGGATTCATCAATCCACTTCTTCACATCTGGTGAAGTAATGTACTGAAATTTAAGTTTCTCCAACATCGCAATGGCCTCCCCGCGAGACTCCTGACCTTTAGGAGGCATATACGTGTTCATATCCCAACGACATAAATTAATGGCGTGTTGAAGACGATAAATCGTCTCGAAAAGAGACTCCAGCTGGTCATATGCGGACATATTGAGTAGCTTTAGGATTGAGTAAAATCTTGGTTTAATATTTTAAAAAAATGGTGATAATATTTGCTTATAGAAATTATAAAAAACGACCTATGGGTTCAAGAGCAGAAAATATAATCATAACATATTTCTTTGTCAGTCTGCCCCTCTCAGAAGTTGGACAAAGTATCCGTAAACCGTCAAATTTGTGAAATATGCCAACATTTTTGATGTCTAACAAGTACACATACCGATTCATTTTGTTCTGTGTAGACACCACCATTACCGCCCGGTGAAAAACACATCTGATAGGGTAATACCATCAAGATCTCTCGCTAGCCTCATCATGGCAAGGTAACATGCTTTGCGCAAAAAAACACTATCTGCTCTTCCTTCAACATAAACCAGTTGTTTTCTAAAGAGAACCCTTGCGTTTATTCGGAGTTTTCGTCGGAAACCATAATAAGAGCCTGAATCAGAGACCCTCCGGTTACGCTGCCGCTCTCCTTTTCCTTTTCCTTGTGTTTGTCAGCGGCTTGAGATGGGCTGAGTCAGACTTCGACCGTATGCCCGCAGAACGTTAGGTGGAAACTAATCGGATGTATTCCGGATTGGTAAAGTTGCGTTAGAACGTCCACTCGAAGCGAAAGAGTACCCTGACCTATTCTCATCATGAACTCTACTTTTTCGGAAAACGTTTTATTTATCTGGATGGGATCCGTGGTGTCGACGATAACGGTATGGGGGAACCCAAATATCCCTCAGGTGCTGCTGTTTTTACATGGAGAGAGTAAACGTACTCTAACCCTAAATCGTTCCTAGGCACTAAGAAAAAAATGTCTAACCGTTTGGAGGTATACAACATTAATCAAAAGGTATACTACCTCTATTTCACTGATATTCTTTCAATAGTCAGTGAATGAGTGAAATGGGCCAGAAAACTTCAAGGCACGTTTGGGAAACCCTCCTTACAAACTTTTTTTAAACTGACCCAGCGTTCTAATAAATATAGAGATTACGGATGCCCCCTCGGTATTTTGGTTGGTCCTCATATGTTTATCAGTGGCCATGTTTAAAAAAAAAAAGGAGGAATGGGCAAGATAGGATTCAGAGTTGGGCCCTAAAACGGCTGATTCCTAGATGTCTTCTTTAGATGCTTTTTTTTGTGCCAAAAATAAAAGAGACAGGCACCTCATCTAGAACGCGCTATTTAAACAGCACAAGGTATTATAGCCTTTTGTTGCATTGATGAATCTCACAAATTGACCGAGCACGTGATACAATTTCATGAATCGGCATTGAAATAAAGTTGGATGCCCAAAACTATTTGCAAATAAAAGTTGAAATAAAAAAATAGAAAAGAGAAGGGATCTCACATATAATAATGGCAGAAACTGGCGTAGGGTAATGAGAGGGTTCAAAATCATTTCCCGTACTTTTTCACTAGGATGGAAAAGGTTGTTGTCAGCCCGACCTGGTACTTTTACCAAACGCTACGGATTAAAGCAAATTCCTCAGAGATCGGGATAGAGATCGTTGAACGAGACATCGACGAATAAGGGAAGGTGATGGGAGGGTAACTTTGTGTTGGGAAAGAGCTGTTGGGGGTCGATCTCCCCATCCTCTGGAATATCCAGCGCCTGATGAAGAGCTAGGGTGCGGGGTTCATAGAAAATGAAGTCCTGTGCCCCGTACACAATTCCACGTTGTTTCAAATCGGTCTTGGAAGGGATAAGCATATCGGTCCTTTCAGAGACGGTGTGGTGGCTGCTCCTCGTCTCTTGTTCCTTGGGTTGATCATCCGAGTCACCCCGTGGTATTGCCGTTTTCGCTTGAATCGACGGATTTGTTTTGCTAGAGATGAGCTTTGCCACTGAACGCACATTAGAGAACTTGCCATGATGCTTCAACCCTGCATCTGGTCTTATGAACTGTTGCGTCTCCTTTTCAAGGGTGCGTTGTGTGTCTGTTCGATGCATTTCATCGACATTTTTGGCGTAATACTTGCAGTATCCCGACTCTGAAGAAGAAGAAGAGACGTATTTTCCCTCTCCCAAAGTGTTTTGGTAGTGCCACGCGGTCCACCTTGGTCCCCCGAGGGCGTCGTAGGTGGAAAAAAAACGTTCACGAATCGCCTGCACACACGGCTCTTCATCATCCCTAGTGTTCAGGTCGCCGCACAGGATGGTCGTTGTGTGGGCGCTGTCGGCGCTACCGCTACTCATACCCTCTAAAATCATGAGGATCTGCCGGGTTTCGTGTAGCCTCACTGTCTGTGCCTCCTCTGAATCCCCTGCTGTGAGTTGGATGCATCCTATATTCAGATTGAGATTTGTGATCTTGTCACGCATAGAGACAAAATGGCCAAAATGGAAGTGGCCGGGAAGGTCTCGGCCTGGCATGAGGAGCGGTGTGAAACGACCCTTGTGGAAAAGCACGACGTTGCCAATGTCCTCTTCCTCGAGAATCTTACCCCCATTTCGGGGTGCGGTAGGGTCTTCGCCTTTTCGAAGCACGCGTACACGCGCTCCACGGCTGGATTGATAGAGCGTTCCGTATCCCAGGTAGCGAACATATCGCCACAGATCGCCATTAAAAAAGACACGATTGACCTCATTCAAGCACACCACATCTGGATCGTAATGTCGTAAAGTATTGGTCAGATGCGCTCTACGAAACTCTGATGTAAGAAATGGTGGGAGCTCCGTGTCAATCTGCGGATCGTAGTCCAAAAACCCATCAGAAGTCTCCAGTGGCGCGCCGTTAGGAGCCAAGTCGCTTCTTGTAGTACGCGTGAAACTGGGCACTCGTACCTTCACGTCCTCGACCGGCGTCGTTTGGTGTTTGGAAGCATTGTTATAGCGGTCCACCATCATATTGAAGGACATAATGCGAAACCAACTCCGTTGTGTGTAACTCGTAGAGAGCATTGACTTGGAGGCCTTGACCCATTTTCTCGGAAGTGGCGGCACGTATTCGGGGTCATCATCGCTATCGGTATTCATCTCCTTCCAAAGGTAGCTCTGAAGCTTGATTTCCAAGGCCTTTTGGTCCACATCAGCACTCAAAATAGACGGCTGTATCATTGTAGGCATAGAGCCTCGAGGCTGTCTGGCGATGCCACCATCTAACCTCTGAGCACTTAAAATAAAAGACGATAACCGAAGCATTCATGTCCTACTAGACTTTTCGTTGTGTGTGCTTTCCAACCTTCCGGTCCTGCTTCTTGAAATAGATCTTAATAGTTTGCTTTGTAGACGTATTATCCCACACATTTAAAATAAAAAATGGTGAATGCACGCGAAATATTCAGGCACTTGATAAAATGACATTAGAACAGAACCCATACGTTTTTTATTCTAAAAATCGTCAGGCATGTCTTTTTGGAAAAAAAATAACAAAAAATCGGAAGAAAGATCTAAATGAAATGAAACATGAGGTAAAAGGGTGAAAAACCTACTATAGACGTCTAAACAAAGGCAAACTCTTTAGATAGTTTAGTCTCAATATTAGACTAGAAAATGAGAGAAATCTTAAAAAGATGCAAATATGAAATCGTTCTTATTTCTGTCCACAATGACTAGAAAACATAATAAAGGAGAAAAAGAACATGAAAAAAAACTATTATCTATGCTGCGTACGAAGCTACTTGGGTGTCTTCTCGAGAACCTCAAGACGGGCAAGGAAGTGGTTCATTGCTTCACACTTTGCGTCCACCAGCTCACGTGCCTTCTTGATAAATTCGTCCGCGCTCACACGTTCCTGCTGTGCGTTGAACTTGACTTGGTGCTCCTCACGGATGCAATACATGTCGACGTCGAGGTAGTGCTTGTAGGCCTCCATCGCGCTCTCCAGCAAGGCGGCGTGCGCCGGGGCCGCGGAGGAGTGGGAGTCCGAGGTCAAGGGGCCGCTGTAGCCCCCGCTCTCCGCATCGTGCTCCTGGCGGGTGCCGCCGTGCCGGAGCCCGGCTTCACTGGGTGAGGAGGGCGGCAGCGACGCGACCTCCTCGCGGCCGCGCTTCACCGGCCCCTGCGACGCCATCGCGTTGAGGACGGTCGGGGCCTGATTGCACAGCCCGCTACTGCGGCCGCTGAGGAGAGGGGCGGCGAGTGAAAAACGGCTACTCTTGCCTGGAATCGTGGTGGCGGGCCGGTGGGCCTTGAGTAAAGGCGGTTTGGCCATATAAACAATTTGCTTCTGTTCATTCTCCTCTAAGGTTGGTTTATTGGATGCGCTTCGCTTCAGCTCCTTTACACGGTCCGCGTAGCGCAGCGTGTTCAGAGTGTGTTCGCAGTTGTTGTTCGCGGGCGAAACGGTGCCAATCATTACGGTCCGACAGTTGCCGACGAACGAATCGCGCAAGACCTCGGTCAGCTTCGAACCGCGGAAAGGCACGTGTTTCTTGTTTTGGTCTAAAAATCGAATGCATTCCTTCAGGGCGAGAAGACTCTTGTTGATTTCAGCACCCTCCATACGGATTTGCCGCGCACAGTCGATGGTGTCGGCACCACGCTCGCTCCCAGCAAGATCGATAAACGTGAATTTGCCACCGGAATACTTGGGGCCACTGATATCGTGGACTCTCGGCTTTAGCTCGAGTATTGCGTGCGATCTGGAGCTAGTGTCGTTGGCCCCGGTGCAGCCTGAGCTTCTGATCCGACTTCCTTGCTCTATAATGCGCATCAGGTCATCCACGCTCCCCGATATGTGCTCCGTTAGTTCACGAACGTTCACCTTACCCTTCTCATCCTCGAGGCATCGCAACAGCTGACGTCGGTTGAGCAGATCATACAATCTACCCCCATAAATCTCGTAGAACGACACCACAAGGTCGCCTCTTATGTTAAGACACGCATAGAGATCACGTGCTGCTAAAGCGTACAATCCCGGTTCCTCATCTTTGCCGAGCATCGTGTGGGTCTTGCCGCTCCCCGTTTGACCGTAGGCAAAACAGGTAGCCGAACCGCCGTCCATAACGGTATCAATAAGATCGCGAGCAGTCCGCTGGTATACATTCTCATTCGTGCACGTCTCGTCAAAGACTTTGTCAAAGTAAAAACGATGAATATGGATATACTTACGCAGGTCAACCTTCACCTTGGGCTCCTTCAGGATAATCTCGCTTATGTTATTCGACTCCATAACATCTTCAAATCCACCAGCCTCCTCTCCGGCATTGATCGGCCGCTTTCGGATGGCAACCACAATGCGGCTTTTTCGCTTAACCTCACGATTGTCCGGCGTTCTAGTCAGTACGGTTGTGCCTCGTGCGGTGTATCGACTGTCTCGCTTATGAACGTCCATCTTGTCTTCTGTTGGGTCGCATTCCTCGACGCCGTCCAGCACCTCAGTAACGGATAAAAGAGATGGTGAATTTAGAATGTCCTTTGCATATTCAACGGCATCGCATAATCGCATGGCATCCATCTCATTTTGAATTCCGTAGGCTTCCAGTGTGTCCGACTGAAGCTCTGAAAACCCCTTCAATGTCATGGTTTTGTAAAAGTACTGATAAAGGTGGGGAATACGAAATTTCTGAAAAACTGTCTTTAGGTTAGCTTTCTGTTCTGCATTCTTGTTTGGTAGTGGCATTAGATTATCGGTGTAAATACGTAGTATTTTCTAAGTAAAATATGATAGGTTATTGAAGCGTTAACACGCAGTTTTGAGTGGTAAAGGTGTAGTTTCTATATAAAGATAAAACAAATGGGTCTGCTATCTAAAATAATAATAAAAAAGGTTGGGAAAGGGAACAATAATGGAAGGCTATAACGCACACCACAAACAAACATATAACACACACAATATTAAAAAAGTGTCTAATAGAAGATCCCCCCACCCCTTAGGTAATTGCCTCCATCTTTCGTGTGTCCAAGACCGCACGACGTCCGGCTGCAGCTGATCCTGCAAGAATGTCAATCACGCGCATGTCTCGGCACAAGAAAATTACTTGAAAGCCTCAGAAGTTCCTTTCCACTGTGCACGTAGAATGGTACCACTAAGTACCTCCGCCTTCTTTTTTTCAAAATAACCTTTAGACGCCCATTCTCTCATTTTTGCCTCGGGAAAGGGACCGTTCACGACGTCCGGAGTTCCTGTCCATCTCAAAAACCACAGAGGCTGCAATCGAATCGATGTACGAACAGTCTCCTCGAGGGCCTTAAGTAAAATCGCTTCTCGCTTTAGTTTCATTAACAACAGTTCATGATGGTGAAGGACTTTAGTGTGCAGTTCGCTCAGGCGGTTAAACTCCTCCATGTCACTCCGTGAAAGACGCTGGAGGCAATGACTAAAGGTTTCTCCAGGTTGCATCCTCTGCAAAACTTCTTCCAACATGGGCAACAGAGCCTCTCTCGTGGGGTCTTCACCAAAGTTAATCTCTCCTGTGCTTGACGATGTCGAGGATGAGGGAGGATTAGGGTTGAAATCGGACACCGGCACTTCACCTCCCCTTTCACTATCGGAACTACTATCAAGGGCAGAGTTTGCGTTTTTGTTGGACGCATCAAAATCATCCTCAGGCGTGTTCGCGCTACGAGAACGCTTCCTGCTTTCCATGGCGTGCTATGGCTTTTGGAGATGAGGATAGTGGACAATGGTGAAAATGAAAAGAATAGGAAAAATCAGAGTAAGCAAACGGTTAAAACAACGACCTCATTGAAACACAGATTCGATATTCCGCCTTTCCCCTGCTCGCTAAAACTTCATGATATTTGCAAGCTGACTCAACTCCTTATTGTTTGTGTTGCAAATAATCACTACCTTATTCAGGCTTCACAAAAATACCACTCTCATTGGGCCCAAAACGAATTCGAACGCCGATTGACTTGACCGTTCCATGAATGCCGGAACCTATTGTGCACCCATTTTTATCGGCTTTACCGTGAAGTACTGTCCTCAACAATAAGCTTTTGCTCATTTAACCAGTAATAGTGGTATTCATTTCAGAGATTGGAAATCACACCATCTTGGTGTTATCAGTACCATTCGTCTCGAACGGCAACCCGGTTGGAATCGCAACTTCAAAAATCTTGCCCCTCAATTAGATGGGATGGGTTACTTATCACTGATTTAGAACCTTAAAACAGGTTCCTAGATTATACTGTAGTAACAAAGAACATGGAAGCTGAGATATCAACGGTACCCCTATAAAAAGGCGGTCTTTCCCACTTTGAACATGCTCTCGTGTATCGATTTTGCGTCAACGGGCGACTTAGCCCTCAGATTTTACTGAGGGACTCACCGTGAAACATCGCAAAGTCGATACTGTAGTGAACACCATGAATTGTGCATTTAGCAAGAGCTCTTTCCATGCACCGCGGGTGCTTCACACGGTCCCTTTTCTACATTCCCATCTTCCACAAAAAAGGTTTGTAGCACTCAGAAATATAAAAGACCCCAACAATACGCAAGGCTTGACGCACACCAAGAATTTAAAGGTTCATTGTTGTTCCCCAAGAAACTGACCAACTGGACTAAACTTTACATGGGCTTCTTGGCTCACGATAGTATGACAGCTGAGTGTGAGAATCTTCTGCCCCCATATTGAAAAGACGTCCGATTTTTATGGCATACCATAGAATCCCATTGTAGTTTTCTATGGGATCATTTTGTCAATAAAAAAGCGGTCTAGCCATGCGACTAGTGGAAACCTTCCCTTAGCATAGAGAATGTCTGAAGTAAACGGAAGTGGTAAAATAAAGGTATCCTGGAACATTTTATTACCAATTTCCAGTCTTATTCTATGCGCTAACGATGCTTCTCTAGTTTTGGCTCTTCGCAAACTGTGCAAACCTACAAAACGCACTTTTTTATGGCTAAGTTTCAGTTGAATAGTTCTAGCCTTCAATGGTCATCAAGACGGTCACCCTCAATGACCGTTCTCATTCGATCCGTCGCCGCACTAACAGAGTCCTCCTGGATATTTTCCTCGTCGGTGGTTAAGCCAGTATCACTAGAAATGGCAGCCTGTGCTGATGCCTGCTGCTCCTCCATCTTTTTCCGAAGCTCAGCCTTTTTAGAGGCAATGGTCTCACGCAGCTTCTGCAGCATTTCATTTCGCCTGTCACTTATGACGGATCTCTCCTGGATAATCTCCTCGCGTTTTCGCTCCAACTCCCGCTTCTTGCGTAACTCCAGGATGCGATTCTGGAACTCAGACTCAACCCCAGTGCCCTTCATTCGATGGCGCAACGGGGTAATGATGGTACGTGCGTGCTCCCAAGTTATATCCATCTTTAGGCATCCTTCTTTGTACTTCAGTTCGTCGACCTCGTCGGAATCAAGCTCGGAAACTTGCTCAATAGTCCAGATGTTGCGTTCAATAAGTTTTTTGGTTGTGTGTGTGCCACAACAGTCTAACCATGACACAAATGTTCCCGGTGTGATATCCGGTGCACACTCAAGGTGAATAAGCCACCACCGTCGGTCTTCGTTGGTGATCCTACCATTGGTGGCAATGCCACGGGACACTAAATGAGCCTCCATCCAAAGGTGATTTAAGGAAAGGAGTCTTCTCATGATCGTCGTGTTCTATTCTCCCTTTAGTTTTCTTGAGCTGGTTAGCCTAAGCGCCTTCAATATTTTAAAAAATGATCTTGGAAAAGAATGATTGCAAAGAATAAAACCTATCGGATCGTTTACTCATTATTTGGATGACTTCACGGGGGAAAAAAAAAGTAAGAAATTGTCAGGTTTGCTGAATATATATATATATAAAGATATAGATATAAATGAATAGATTAATGGATATCGATACATGCATAACGAGATACCCCTCCTCCACTGCTCTATGGCAAAAATGAATTTTTTTTTTTGCGTTGCCAGAACCAAGTACTCAAAATAAATGACAAGGTCAACTGCAACAAGTTTTTTCTTTAGTGGTCCTTTTGCGATGTGGAAGAAAATGTTAACGGTGAAGTAAGTCGCGAGTCGAGCCCTGCTGAGGAGTTCTAGGATCATGCGTTCTCGCATAACGACCGTTTATATGTTGCGGTGTATCACACAGTTATCCGAGCTTAAACCTTTTGTAGCCCTATGAAAAGGAGTCTCCTTGTTCTAAACAATACCATAACAAGCACCACTACAAGGAATGGGCCGAGTGAAAACAAACAATATCCTCCATTTTCCTACTCTTCCCATGGCATTTTAGGAAAATCTACCGACACTGCATGCTTGGAGTAGTTTACCGATTCCTTTTGCGACTCGTCGTCCTCCTTCTTCTGTTCGGCATCAGAAGTACATGGCAGTAAGGGTGACGGGAGGGCCACACCCCTATCGAACTGATGCTCGGATTCAGGTTGTAGTGTG